GAACCTCTTCTAATTATAAATTCATTACGCTTGCTTTTACACTTAATTTACGTATAAGAGAGAAACTCTGCAACGAATTGGTCGTAAAGTTTTAGATGGAACATTCGTTTTAAAGTACATTTTTTCTCGTTTATTTTTTTTACAACGAAAGAGCTGTGTAGTAGCTATTAGCAAAGTATTCTTCTGCTACAGATAATTAAATAAAAGAAGCTGTAATTTAAAGGTAAGCAAAGACGAAACGCAAGATACGGAGGAGGCAGGAATACAAGATTTATTATTTTTTTCTTTTATTAGTAAGGACAATTTATATGAGTAGTATCAAATCAAAATTAATTTGACTAATGTTGCTTTATTGAAAAAAGAGATAAGAAAACGATAAAAGCAAATATAAAATTACAATTTCTTTCATCGTATACACATTATACAGTGCTGGTTGGAAAAAGGTTTTCTTCACCCGTTTACATTTTTCAATAATTGTCTGCTTCCTTATTTATATCCTTGTCGTTTTAGAATAAGCTCAGAAAACTACGACTTCTTGGGTTTATTGTATTTCCCTGCTCTTCTCTTTGTCTTTGGTTAGTTTAATAAGGTTCCGTACCAAATGTTCCTCGGACGCTCTTTTCTATTCTATACCGAAAAGGAGATTTTGCCGCCTATCTAGAGCTTTGAATTTGAAGATAACGTGGTATGAGCATTCTTTTGCTTTTAAGGACAATCTACTGATCTACTCATTAATAATTGCGCAATGGTGGAAATTTAGAGATCATTCGAGCTATAGTATTTCAACAACTAAGTGTAGGCGCCGGTTTGATCTCCTGAATTTACTGATTGCATTTTCTCTTATCTTTTACCAATTACTTTGTTGTTTAGTGGTTATCTGTCTATTTTCTGCCTGCTAAGTGGAGGTTCTGCATATTTCATTGGATACCCTTATGCCCCTTTATTACCCATGCAAATTTTACCTTATTGTGGTTGCCATATAATTAAGTATACCATAGCAGTCCTAAACTAGTTCTGACTTGATTTTGTTTAAACTAAGGGCTTTTAAAGATCCTCTGTTTCAACACTTCGCAGATGTCAAGTTGGTATTGCAATGTTTTCGAAAGTGGAAATAGATACACGGGCCAGAGTGCCTCTCTTTGGGCTCATTTGACCCATTGTATTCGGCGTTTGGGCTCATACCGTTTTCAAAATATGGCCTCCGAAAATATGTGATGACATCGTTGTATATTCGATAACTCATGAACGGATAACCAGAAAGACACCAAATTTTAAACTTAAGCTTAATCAATCTTGCGGTGAGCTGATTAGATTTTGGGCATAATCGGAACATCTAAGGGGGTACTTTATTTTAGTCGTTTTTCAATTTGATGAAAAATATATAATATTTACGCTTTTAGAAAAAAATTGTTTAAATGAAAGTTGCTTGTGGTGCCATTCTCATTCTTGTTAAATACATGATTTCCTTAAAATAGACCGAATTCGAGATATTTGAGGAAACGGCAAAATCGTAATTTTGAAGATAACTCAAAAACGGATAAAAAGAAAAATTCCAAAATTTAAACAACATTTAATCCCTCGTGCGGTGTACTAATTAGATTTTGGGCATAGTCGGAATATCTGGAGGTACTTTATAGGTGTCGTTTTTCTACTTTATGATATATGTCTGTTATTTACGCTCGTAAAAGAAATTTTTTAAATAAAAGTAGCTTGTGAATTAATTCTATATAAGTTTTGTAATTTACATAATTTTCTTTAAATAATCCATATTCGAGAAATTTGACAAAATGTGCTAAATTCAAATTTTAAAGAAAATTGTTTAAATAAAAGTTGCTTGTGATGTGATTCTCTATAATTCTTATTTTATACATGATTTCGAGATACACACATCGCCAAAATTCTTGGACCCCCCCTCGTAAATATTAAAACAAAATATTTACCATGGCTGCTTTTTTGTACATTTAATCCTTTATTTATTTATTTCACGGTTGATACGCATCTAAAAATGTTTACAGAAACAATTTCCCATAATTTTAGGTACCAATGTTTAAAAAGTGGTTCATATCGATTTTGCGTATTTAACTGATTGATTTTTCTTTGCAACTATGCCTGGAAATAGAATTTCAGTGTTCAATAGAGCAAGAATAGTGGCTTTGCATGATGAGGATCTGCCGAATCATCGAATCGCAGATAGACCAGGGATTCCCCGCGCTTCAGTTAACCGAATAGTGCGTTTGTAGCCGTGCAACTGGGTGTTCTAGGGTAACTAATCCAAGAGAAAATTGGTATGTACGTCGGCATCAAACCGTAACAGTCTCAGCTCATTTTAGAAGAACGTATGCTCGATTCATTTCCAGTACCACAATACGGCGGAGACTTTCTGGAGCAAATTTACGATCTATGAGACCATTAAGAGTACCCAGGTTACTTCCTAGGCATATAGCTGCTCGTCTACAGTGGGCACAGGAACACAGAGACTGGCTTTTAGCTCAGTGGCGAAATGTTCTTTTTTCAGATGAAACCAGATATGGTTTAATTAGTGATAGTCGGCGACACAAAGTTTGGAGAGGGCCAGGGCGACCAGAAAAACTATCTTTTGTCAGATAAGTCGTTCCATACCAAGGAGAAACAGTAATGTTTTGGGGAGGCATAATGTATGGTCGTCGTACGCAGCTTACTCCCATTCCAGACACTATGACAGCTGATAAGCATGTTCGAAACATTATTGTACTCATTATTTATCCTCTCCGAAATGAAATAGGAGCCAATTTGATTTTCATGGATGACAATGCTAATCCCCATCGCACGAGATGCGTACAAAATGCACTACACATTTAGAATATTCAAAGATTACCGTGGCCAACAAATTCGCCAGATATTAATCCCATTAGCACATGTTGGATTTTATTGAACGAGTAATCTCAAACAGAATTAATACTCCTATTGCCCTCCAGGAACTCACAGTCGCGGCTCAAGAAGAATGGAACAACATCCCAATGAATTACATTAACACCCTTATTGTTTCCATGCACAGGCAAGTTAATACCTTACTACAGAACAGGGGAGGACACACCGAATATTAATGAATTTTTGATTTCGCTCTAAAGTGGTTTTCTTCTGGATTTCAAATTCTATAATAGTAATCATTTTATTATGCATTTTATTTTTCGTTTGTATTTTTTTGTTCAGTTAAAATTTAATTCAGCTAATTTGTATTGGATATATTACTAAATTAAATGTTCTATGTAACACACTTCTTGACTTTTAATAATAGTGTCTCATTTTGACAAACATAAGGGAGTCCAAGAATTTTGGCGATGTGTGTATTTGGGGAAAGAGCAAAAAAAACAGTTACAGCCAAGAACACCAAATTTTAAACTTTTACTCATCCTGCGGAAAGCTGATTGAATTTTGGGCATTGTCGAAGCATCTGGTAAAGGGAGGGTAATTTAAAAGGTATTATTTTTTACTCAAGGGAATATCTGTTATTTACGATTGGAGAAGAAAATTCTTCAAATAAAAATTGTTTGCAATATCATTCTCTATAATTTTTGTTTTATACATTATTTCTCTAAAATGGACAATAATGATGAAAAAATTAGAGGAACATTTCTATTTTTCAGTATTTTCGTTAGCAATGAACATATATAAAAAATGTTTCGAGTAAGGTGTGTGGAAACTTAATGTATTTAGTTAATCCTGTAATAACTAGACAGGAAAGTCATGTGTTGGACACATCAGATTTTTCTTCATAGTAAATGGAACAAATATATAAAGGGACAGGGTGCTTATCGTTTGGGTTCATTGGGTCCATAATATTCGGCGTTTGGGCTCTACTGTTTTCGAGATATGGCCTCCGGAAATATGCAATGCCATCTTGACTGTAGCATAGCAATGAATGGGCTTGTCATACAAACCATTGGGCCTGATTTAGTAAGCAATGGAATCAATGGATCAGCAATTTGTAAATTAATATCAAATATACAACGATGGCATTGCTTATTTTCGGAGACGATATCTCGAAAATGGTATGAGCCCAAACGCGACAAATTACTAGCTCATCGAACCCATTGCTCACTGAATCTGGCCCATTCAATGCGATGCTACCGTCAAGTTGGCATATTAGCTATTCAACGGAAAGACTAAAGAAAATAATGAGTATGTTATTGCTTTCAACTGAACGAATATATTTTATACTCATTCTCCTTAGTAAGAACAATACACAAATATGAAATCCATCAATCATAGTTCATATTTTGCTCACCCGGCTATTGTTATTTTTTTTTTTTAATTTTAAATAAATGATAATTCTGTTAAATTAATTGTCACTATATTTTTTAGTTATTGAAATTAAAAAATATATATAAAACGAGTTATTCTTGTATAGAATCGATAAATGATAGCATTTTTGTTTTTAATTCGTCTGTATTTACAAATTTTTAATAAAACTATATGAAATGAATTTAATTGCGAGTATTAAAACTAAAACTCGATGAAACTGAGACTAGTGCATTTGGTTGTCATGCGAGAGGTCCAAATCTAGGATGTAGACTAATTAAATGAAATCTTCTTTCTTTATGTTTATTTTATTTTATAAATTAGTAAGACAAATTATTTTTAAATTAATTATTTTATCTTAATAACCTAAAATAATTTTAAAAATTTATAGATTTTCGTTAGTGGATCGTGGTAAAAATATATTGTACTCTTCGAGAGAATTGTCTATATTCACTCTTGTTACATAAACTACTATTTAAATATTTCTAGTTTATGAGTACAAAATAAATTGTTTTTATTATGATTTACTTTCTTGATATTATCTTTAGTTCATGAGACATAGCCATTGTAAGTTTTTAAATTGTTACCCCGTTTACGACAAATGATTAAAGTTCCTAAACCTTCGATGGCAAAAGATGAAAGTACAAGTATTCAATTAAACTGAAGTATACTGAAACATCTTCCTTTGATAAATTTTAAACCCAAGACTTTTTGATACTTACGATTTCTCGTTGACACAATTTTGAATGCTCCTTATCCAATTTGGTTTTTCCAGTGCCCGGTCCCGTTTGTGACTCTTTCGCAAGAGTCACGTATTGTGCGCATTGTGTCGAAAGATACTCGAGGACTTGTTTGAGCAACATCTCAACGTTCGGGTCGTCTGATTCAATTGCCGATGTAACTTCAGACAAACCATCTTCCTGCAATCAAATATTTTCAATTCAATATACGTGTATTTCTTTCTATATTTATATATTTTACAGCAAATAGTTATGATAGGAATATGGAATATTTTTTAAAACTTATTCTTCGCTATTGCAATAGGACATATTCCCTTTAACCTTTAAGCTTTTATTTTTTTTTTAAGAAAGGAGAGAATATATCAGGTAATTGTCCGAAAAACTAAAGCATGTATATGATAAATCTGAAAATGGAAACCGCAATTCCCCCTAAGAAATTAAGGAAGTCATCCCTACTACCCTAAAGAGAAAAGCAAAAAAAAATTGATAAACAGAAAAGAAATAAAGAAAAACGCAAGGCTCACCAAGGGACCGATCTTAGATCTCCGAGTTAAATATACAGAGCCTGTAAACTAAGAGCTGGCACACTTCGTATACCTATCTCTGAATAACATAGATATGCATTAGAGGAGAGAGGAAATGTCATTTTCATCAGGCATGTTTTAAAAAGAAGTGACTCACGCGCTTGCGCATTGATTGCATATTGAAGTGCACAGAATAGACCTTTTCATCACAATTTTTTTTGTGCGCATGCGTCAGTTTCAGCCATCTTTTTTGTACTGTTTTTGTAAACAAGTATGTTAAAATGCTTACGTGAAAAAAATTATAATTGATAAATATTAATTTAGGTCTATATTCATTTAAAAAAAGGAAGAAAAAAGTAAAGTAATAATAAGTTTAGTGTCTTAATTGAAAAATACATTTTCACAAGCAATTATAATTATGTTATCTGTACGGAAAGGAACAACGAAACAGTGTTGTTATGTAAAAGTGACACACGGTATAAATCATTCAAAGGCAATAGATATTATTTTATAAATTTTCCAAAGCCTTAACTGCAATATCGTAAACAATTATCAGGCAAAATCCATATTAAAAGATATTTGAAATGTGCATTAAGTGTGAAAAAATATGGTCGAAGTGACAACGGTTTTCGATGGATTAATGATGTTACTAAAGATACTTATAATAATAATAATAATAATAATAGTTTATTTTGCATTTACGGTGTACAATAGAATTACATCAATATTTCACTGCATTTTCATGGAGAAAGTGGTCCAACAGAAGAAAATTCTCACCTTGTATTAAACAATATTTTTTTAATATTAAATACTACTTCAGTATACACATTAAATGATTAAAAATGTCATGTTGATCCTCAAAATAATAAATAATTTATTTTATTAATTATACTCGTGATTAACTTTCATGCTAATTAAAGTGTTTTTGCAAGTAGTAATAGTTGGTTGGCATAATTAATTAGAATAAAGTTATAATTATTATTTGTTATCATTAATTTTTTACAGAGTTAAAAAGTATTGATACACCTAACCTCTCAATTAGTCCACTTTGTTCCTTTGTAACAAACATCCAAGACACTTCAACCTCCTTTTCAACTGCTCACAACTATGCGCTTCCACAGAGTTATAAAAAAGTTATTCACTATCAACGATTTTTTCTAATGATTAATTTTTCTTTAGAGATAACATTGCTTTCCCAGCCATTGTCGATCAAAACAGTACGAAACTTTTGAATTACCGCTATTTCAACATGGTGGCTGCGCTTGCGCTCATCACATGATGAAAAGGTCTATAGGGCTAACACATTTAAACATAATTCGAAAGATTAAGCATTTAACCCTTTCGCGTCCGTAACCGCAGATATACTGGAACGGCATATATATGCGGGAGACGCATTTTTTTGATGGCTGTGAGAACCACTTAAACACGGGAAGCGCACGAACCCGACATAATATTCTTATGAGATGATCAACATGTTATAACTTTTCTGTGGTGGAAAGCTGCAGCACGTTAAATAGTGTTTTATTGGCAGTCATTAAGTGAAACCAAAAAAACTCCCGACACGAAAGTTAATTACGCAATAGAACTAATAAACATAAAAATTCGTAATAGAATGATAATTTTCTTTTTTATAGATTTCTAAAAAGTAGTAAATTAAAACCTATTATCAGAAACATCTAATAAAGTATTTGATTAAAAACGGAATATAAATCCAAACTTAAATGTGACCAAAACGAAAAATAAATGAAAACAAGAAATTCTCTATGTCATGTGTTGAATTATATCCAAAGAAGAGCAACAGAGATAAAAAATTAATGCTTGAAAATTCAAATTTTGATCTTGCTTACTAAAGAGAACGTTATTCTTGGATCGGTTTTGTCCTTATTAGGACTCATTAGCAAGGAATAGATATTCTTGATTTTGGTCACTTAAGGAATCTTCAAAGCGGTAAATTCACCCGCTTACATGGACGGTTTAAGTTTAAGTTTAACTTGTGTAATGTGTTTAACAGTAAATGTATGTTAACATTATGATATTAAGCTTAAAACATTTATATTACATTAGAAAACGGCACTAAAAATTATAATTAAAAAAAGCTATTTAATAAAAGTTAATAAGGAATAAAAAAATACAAATTTTTTTTTTTTAATTTTCATTGGTGTTTGAACAATATTATCTTTTTTATTATTCTTGATATGTGATTTTCCTCCTACACTAGATACTCATAATTATGATTATTGATTTCTCGAAACAAATTTTTATTTTAAACAAATTGAGAATTAACATTTTTTCGGCAGGTAATTGATTATCTGTGATTAAAAATACTTTTTTCTACGATCGTGCAAAAAGTGACTATTTTTTACTCTATATACTGTGCCAAAAGTTTAATTTTTTGCACTAGTGCAAAAAGTAGCTTACTTTTGTGCACTAGTGCAAAAAAGTAACTTATTTTTTGCAATAGTGCAAAAAACACTTCGAATTGTCAGTCAATTTTTTGGAAAAAAATAAAAAAAGAACACAGCGCCGGGAATCGAACCCGAACTTCTCCGGTGGGTGGTAAACATCTTAGACGTTAGGCCATCATGGGTTTTTAAGAAACGTTTCGTAAACCAAAATATATACAGTCACTTTATTACTGGAATTTGTGATTAAATTTCAAAAAGTAGAAATATATATTTTATCTACCCTTTTGTTAATACCAAATTCGCTTGTTAGATAGGAATGAAATAAAATACAGAATTGAAAGATTTTTTACTCTAATTTTAATTAATGCAAATATTTCTTAATTTTCATAGTTACCTATGAATTATTTTGTAAATGCCCTGAACTGTCAAAATATTTTCGTGTTACATCCAGTTACATCTGCGTATTTGTCTCTGTGTGTGTCAAATTAATAGTTTAAACATTTATTAAGTTGTAAAGTTATTAAAAATGTTCAGTTCGGATAGTGAGGAAGAAACTATCAGTTTCTGTACTCCTCCAGATTTAGTGGAAAGAGCTAATGAAGCAACGGCAGATTTACTACCTAATAAATCAAAAAAAATTTATGAAGTATGTTATAAACGGTTCACAGAATGGTGTGAGACTAAATATTACAGAAAACGTAGTACTTGCATATTTAAAAGAAAAGTCGGAAATACTGAAGCCATCGACTTTGTGGTCAGAGTACTCAATGCTAAAGGCTACACTTTTAATAAACAATAACGTGGAAATTCGAAATTTTCAAAAATTAATTCCTTTTTTACTTTCCTATCTGTATACAGATATAAGGAAAGTATAGGAATCATGATTTTTTTCGACTTCGAGTTTTCGACGGATTTTTACGTTTTGAGGTCCCCTGAATCCGTTTTGACTATTTTCGCGATGATGTCTGTGTGTGTGTGTGTGTGTGTGTGTGTGTGTGTGTGTGTGTGTGTGTGTGTGTGTGTGTGTGTGTGTGTGTGTCTGTATAACGCATAACTCATGAACCGATACACAGAAAAACACCAAATTTTAAACTTAAGCTTTGTTTCAGCGTCCAATGAGCTGATTAGATTTTGGGCAGAGTCGGAACATCTGGGGGGGTACTTTATAGGTGGTCATTTTTATATTTTATGGAATATATCTGTTATTTACGTTTGGAGAAGAAAATTCTTCAAATAAAAGTTGTTTGTAATATAATTCTCTGTAATTTTTGTCCTATACATAATTTTTCTAAAATGGACCGTATTCGAAATATTTGAGAAAATGTGTAAATTTCGAAATTTGAAGAAAACTCAAAAACGGATAAAGGAAAAAACATTAAATTTTAAACTTAAGGTTTATTTCGGCCTGACGTGAAATTATTAGATTTTGGACAAAGTCGGAACATCTGGGGGTACTTTATGGGAGGCCGTTTTTATATTTTATGGAATATATCTGTTATTTATGTTTGGAGAAGAAAATTGTTTAAATAAAAGTTACTTCTAATATTATTATCTATAATTTTTGCCTTATGTCAAAATTTCCTGAAATGGTCCGTATTCGAGAAATTTGACAAAATGTGCGCAAAATTCTGATTTTTATGAAAATTGTTGAACTAAAAGTTGTTTGCGATATCGATTTCTATAATTTTTGTTTATACATGATTTTTCTAAAATGGACCGTAATGGAAAAATTGTAGGAAAAGTGCTAAATTTAAATTTTTCTGTATTTTCATTTTCAATGAATATCTATAGAAAAATGTTTCGCGGTAGATGTATGTGGACAATGTATATATTTAGTTTATTCTCTAAACATTTATAGAGATGCTGCAATAGGTTGTACAAAATAACCGGAAAAAGCCTGTAATAACTAGATAGGAAAGTCATGTGTTGGACACATCAGATTTTTAAAGAAGAAGTCAGTAGGGTATCGCCCCAAAAAGTCCAAAGTTTTTTCAAGAGAGCAACTTGATAAGTTTTTAGTTGAAGCTCCCGACAGTAAATATTTAATGATGAAGGTAAAATATAAAAATAATCTTTTTTTAACTTTATACGTAGGTATTTGTTTCTTTTAGATAGTTGCAGTATTTGGGATTGCAGGAGCATGCCGCAGGGATGAGTTACAGAAACTTACTTTAAATGATATAAATAACATGAATTCTATCATAACAGTAAAAATTCCCGACAGCAAGACCAACAAACTTCGATCATTTGT